CCACAAAGCTTGACCTAGTCTATTTCAATGAATCTTGTTCTGTAGCCAATATTATTATTGAATTACGTGAGCTTTAATTATTACGTTTGACATCTGAACATTTCATCAAACAAGCGCAACTATTTGACTTTTCAGAAAAAACATGATAACTCTAAAAAAATCGTGATACGAGAATAACAGAAATCAAACGCACATTTCTCAGTGACAATTCATCAAATAACAGAAAGTATAATGATAATGAATAACAATATTTGATGGATTGTGACCCTTATCGTAAATTAAATTTTTCTAATCGGGCGTGGCCGCGCGTTACGGAATTTCATTTTTTCATATTGTCACACCTGTAGCTTCTCAAAAATAAAGGCAAACTTGCTAAAATTTTTATCATAGATAGAGATGGCTGAGATCTATTATCAGTAAAAATTTTATCTATTTCTGTCTAGTCATAGTTGAGTTATTCAACAAATACGGACCGTTACGGAATTTCATAAAATGGAAATTTTTTTAGGGTGATGCAGAAGTTAAGCATTTTACTACGTAACGAAACGACATACAAATAAATGCTCTATATAAAAGTTATTCAGTTTCCCATGAGCTTTCAAAATATCAATTCATTTCCTAGAAAGCATAACTGTACCAAATCAAATAACTGTAAATACTGTCCGTTACGGAATTTCACTTCGTTACGGAATTTCATTATTTTTTGACTTTCTAATGGGGACGACTAGGGACCTTACAGCTTTTAATTATCATGATGAAAACCCATCATTTCTCGTATCTGCGAATAGTACAGAGATAGTTCTATCGCGTGAGAATATCAGCTTCATGTTCAAAGCAGAATGACATTAAAATTCTGCCTGTTTTTTGGACAAAAAATGAAATATAATGGGACTCAGAACGGATAGTTTTTTGGTGAAATTCGTCAAAAAATCCGTTTTCAGACACTTATTGGAGGAAAAATACGGTTTATATAACCAATCAACAACGTATCTCAGAAGTTGCAACGTGTTTCGTAATCTGTTAGTAGTAAAATTTTGGATTTCGAGAGAGTTTTCTTTATTTTTAGTGCGTATAAACCTACCTCACGGTAGGGTGACCGATGCGCGGCCATGCCGAATCCTGAAAATTTGGAATTAAAAATGAAGAGTGAACTATACTCTTTTACATTCAATTGGAATACCAACCTTCTTTATTTGAAATGCAACATCAAAGATGATGTCACCTTTTGTTTTTATTGTTCCCTATTTCGCTTGAATCTTGGTAACACACAAAATGTCAAGAAGCGTGGAATTCAACAGTTGTGTTACCATAGCTCAATATGTCAGGCGAGAAAACTAGTTGGAAACCAAAACACACGGAAATATCTAATTTCTCTTTCCTTTTTCCCGGTCAAGATGAAATATTAGTGAAACATTTCAAATCTATTTCATATATTGCTGCTGAAAATCCGCTATTAAATTTTGCTGAAAAGATGAAACAATAGTTATCTTACTTGTTGTTACTCAATTTCTTCCTAGACAGTCATTAGGATTACAATAAAATGTAATTTCTGAAGGCATGATGTCGATCAAAAAGTTCAGAAAAATTTCATCTTTTGTAAAACTTATATGATACTAGAAAACTTTGTAGCAGCTACCAGAGATGGAATCGGTCTAGTTTTTTTCAGACCGGTACTGGTACCGGTCCAAAACAATAAGACTGAGCCGGACCGGGCGGCCTAAATCGGCAAAAACCAGTCTACCGGCAAAACCGGTCTATCCGTAAAACCGGTCTAGACCGGTTCGTCGACCGAAACAGACTTACCAAAAAAAGTTGATTTCACCGGTCTACTGGGCAAAACTAGCCTACCCGTACTAAACAGGATGCTGATGATACGTCAATTTATAAAAGAAAAACCGACCTACCGACAAAATATCGATCTATAGACAACAGGCTAAGGCTTGAAATGAAGTCTTGTTTCATAGTGAACTCTCTTGAGGGCTACTTTCGTACTTTCACGCATACTGACATAATGTTTTCCCGTTGATAATAATAGTCTCACTGATGGGTATTTTGAAATTTTTTTTAAAAATAAATTCCTATGTGATTAGTGGAACTAGTCTTGGTGTCAGTTGTTTTTTCATATGATTACCATCATAGAACGGAAAAGTGAGAAATATAGACCGGTTTAAGGCTGTTTCGATCGGTCAGAGTGGTTTAAGCCGGTTTAGACCGGTCAGACCGGTCGATCCAAAGTCCAGACCGGTACCGGTTCCATCTCTGGCAGCTACAAGTTTCAGTCATTATTATGATCTAATACTTGATTAGTGATTCAAAAACTTTAGATTACAACCATATAATGTAAGGTTAACTAAGTATTGATCTTTTTTGCTGTAGAGTTGTTATGTTTGTCATGACTGACAAAATCAAGTAATTGAATTGCTGGGTATTGCTGCTCACCAATCAGTTTTAAAAGATAGTCATAATGCATCATTCATTTCTATTACTATCGGCTCTACTGGTGATGCTTCGGATCAAACCATATTTATAAAATTATCGTCTGAGTTGTGAATGGTTTATATTGTTCAAGAGCAAATAATGTCTATGTCAAAGTTGAATTCTAAGATAGACCAAAATACTTGCAATCATATTTGATTGTTAGTACAAAAAGATAGTATTTCCACTGATAAAATGATAGTCATGTATTACGACAATGCTTCAAATACGTCTGGAAAACATTTGAAGATTCAAAACTGTTTAAGTAAGTACTGCAACAGACCAATCGTGTACGTATACATTGTATCACTCATTCAACAAATTCGGTTGTACGATATGGAAGTCATGTCAGTGTTGATTATGTTAATTGTTTTGAGATTTTGCAAGCGCTATTTAATCTCTTCCCTGATAGTATCAAAGGATATTCTCTACTTTGCAAACAATAAAGTTGAAGAAGTTATGGTAGTCGTCACTAGATCATCAAGATGTGTTAACTTTTTTCTGTTAATTAAGCTCTCTTAGGAAGGAATCTATCCACGATTAATTATTCTACTTGATATAAAGCTTTTAGAGTTATTATTTTGTCTTATTAGAAATTCATGAAGATCCGACAAAATTTATCTGCGTATGACATTGAAAGCAACACTCAAGAAACAGCTAAGCATCTTTTAAATAAATTATGTTCTTTCACTTTTTCCATAATATTACTTATTTTAAAAAATATAATGGAGCCAAGCAATGATCGGACCAAATGCATAATGACCACATGACTCTTGATACTATTATTGAAGTATATGGACTTGTTTACTGTATTTGAAAATTTCAAAAATGAATTATTGTATCAGCTATGGACAATTGATCTTGAAAAGTTGAATGTGAATGTTGATTTGAATGTCGAATTTCAATATCTCTGATGGCGCAATAAAGTTTTGAAACCAATGTATATAAAACATGGTCAAATTTTATAATTCAGTCTTTATAGTTTATTTGTTCAGTAGACAAGAACATTGTTCAATTATTCTTCAAACCATAATAATAAATATGAACAACAAATTTAAACATTCATCAGTCTTAACTACAAATTTCAATAATTTTGCTAATGTATCAGTAACACGAAGTTATATTTTTCTGGGGTAGATGTAGAAAAAGTATTCTTTCGTTGTCAAGATATTAAAATTTTTCTGAAAGCACTATCGTCAAAAAGCATCGTTTTTTTTTATTTTTGTCCCCAACACTGACCATTTTGCAGTGTACCTGGAACTACTTATCACTCATCTAAAGTTAACTTGCTGAAATTAATTTTTCTACCATAAGTACATCAACCTGAGATATATGCACAGTCAAAATTTCAAACCAAGCGGATATATTTTTGGTGAAATATGAGTGTCACGAAAATTACAAAAAAGCTGCTTTTTTTGACGATAGTGCTCTCAGAAAACTTTTTATATCTTCTCAATGGAACAGTATTTTTTAAAAACGACTTGCGTCAAAGTTTATAAAACTCTTGTCTCTACAATATATTCTGAAATGAGCAAAGTGTAACGATCTCGATTAAGCAAGGTCGGTCGTGATTTATAAGGACTCGGTCTTAAATTACAATGCTTCTGTACCCACAATGTGCATAACTTGAACTTTGATCATCTCTTTGGAAGCATGTCATAGTCAGCTTCTATTTAAAACTTGTTAGTTTCTTGGTGGAAGTGATCATTTAGTCGGCACATGGCGAATCTTTTCGCATCACAGTACAAAACCTTTTATTATGAGTCGATTGCTGAAAATCAAGGGACAAGAGTAGCAGATTGATTTTTAGAGTCGATATATAAGACAGTCTGATTTCGATTGATTTATGTACACACACCCTGCTTTTTAAAGAAAAAAATTATATATTTCCTTCAATAAAGCCAAGTTTAGTGTCCGTTTCAAGTCAGTTTGCTATTTCGCTCTGTATGAAATTAATTGACCTTAGAACTTTTCATTTGTGCATCATGAACTCTTCCAAAACAACCACTTACACTTTGTAAAGTAATTACTCGGACACTCTATGATACATTACTTGCGAAGGAAGTTTCACAATGAACAAAAAATATTTTTCTGACTTTAATTATACCATTCGATAGCACGAAGTCTCTACTTTAGTCTACACAAAAAAATTCTACTACAAAAGGCTATCCAAAAAGTTTTATAAAACTTTTTGGATAGCCTTTTGTAGTAGAATTTTTTTGTGAAGACTAAAGTAGAGAGTTCATGCTATCGAATGGTTTAATTAAAGTCAGAAAAATATTTTTTGTTCATTGTGAAACTTCCTTCGCAAGTAATGTATCATAGAGTATCCGAGTAATTACTTTACACAGTATATATCTCTAACGATCTCTGCAGTAAATAAGTGCAAATAAAAAAAAATAAATTGTTCGTTATTTATATTAAATTTAATTTAATCAAATTTCTTGAATAGTTCAAGCAAATAAAAGAAGAAACATTGATACAAGATTGACATTTATTTGTTACTGCTTCAAAAAATGTCTGGTCTAACGTAAAGTAGATAATGAATTATAACTAATAATATGGCCATTGTTAATCAAACCAAGATATACAGATTTTGCGTATATCGGATCAATAGAACGTAAACAATCCCAACAATAATATTCACCCTTATTTTTCCGACGGAAGTACAGATAAAGTTTACTTCCTGCTTTAACCGTTACTGTTATAGCTTGACCACAAGTCGTGCCACTAGTATATGAATATGTTATTTCATCTGCCGCTTTCACATAAAAACAGAATGAATGATATTTTTGGCCAGCTAATATTTCATCAAAGTTCCAATTGTTGCTCGGTAAGTTGCATTTGCAGTGATTGCATTTAACTCCATTTGCTTCACTTGATCGATTTCCCATGATATTACTTTGATTATAACAATAAAAATAGAACTAAGATGATATCGTATAAATCTATAATGTCTAAATCATTCATTTTTTTATAACATTTCTGAGTTCACAAAATTTTTTGAAAACTAAGCATTGCCCATGATTTACACAGGCAGACATTGAACGACAACAGACGCGTTTACGCATTTTTCTCAAACGTTTAGAGCATTGCAAGCCGTGAAAATGTATTTATCAAAGAAATTTTTATATTAAACGTTTTTTAACCGTCTATCTTCCAAAATTCTGACCGAAGTCGTTAAAAGTGTCGTATTATCGTATTTTTCTCAAAAAACATGATGAAACGATCTCTCTCCGTTTCGCTCTGATTATCAAAAAATAAGTCGTGACTGGGAAAATTATATTATGGTAACGTTCTCAGTAAATAGAACCTCTATCACCTAGTAATTGCAAGTCGACGGTAGTTATTACTAATCTTCTATTGCTAGCGAGTAGTTAATGGTTAGTTTAAGTATTCTGCAGTACCTATATGTGATTGAATGTATTCAAATCACGTAAAAATCACTAGTGAAAAATGGATTTGTCGATTTTTTTTATAGAATACGAAGTGTTGGTATTTAACACTTACTGGTAATAAGTAACTGATCATAATTGCGGAAGTGTTACTACTGCAAAAAAAAACTCCACACTCATCAATGAGAAAATAAATAATAGCAATGCTCAAATCCTTATATGGTAAGCAGATACTACTACTTATTGCACTATATACTAAGATATGTGTATGACATTACTCTGGTATGTTGTCAGAGGGGTTAAAAGACGTTTCTTTTTTCCAATTAATATCACATTCACTTCTCACCTGTGACATCTATTTTTATTTTTTCCTTAAGAATAAATCGAAAAGATTTTAATTTATTCTATATTAGAATCAGACGAGGAACAACTCTGACATATTCCTTTTGCTAGCAAAAATAGTTTTTGTTAACGGGCATCACTGACGTGAGAAGGTAGTTCTCCTAATAACGAAAGGGTCCCTGTTAAACTAATGTATAACCTTCTCACGTTGTCGCTCATTCGTGGTTGAGCATTTGACATGTGCTCACTTATATTTATGCATTGATAAATGAAAATCGTTTATATTTCTGCTGTGTTTTAAAAGTACTTTTTTAATCTACGTCAAATATCAATTTATTATTAAAAAAAAATTTTAAACATTAAACTTATACACGCAACAGGCGAGAAAATGAGAAGAAAAAATATGTATTAAAAACTAAAAAATATCATAATAAAATATATAATACAGCAACGGAATAAAAAAAATTACTATAAAAAATCATTCGATGTACCTATTTGGTTATTGTGACTTGGTTTATTTGGCGTTACCTAAATTACATGAATATGTTAGGATGACTATATGAACAATAGTTTATAATCAATATACTCATTGAAATGCTTACTCGTTGTTAACAGTTTTCAGTGAAGACAATACAGACGTTGAGACTATCATAATAATCTCTAGAAATGAACATCAATAAAATTTGTTCAGCGAGGAGGAAAGATTGTACAGGACGAATAATCAATCAGTTTAATGAAGGGTGTGGGTGTTGGTGAGAAACAAAATCAGAATTCCTCCATGAGTCTTTTTGTAATACGGTTTTGTTTAGAGAGTAGTAAACAACTTTACTCGTCTCCAAATATTTTAGTATCACATCCGTTCCAACTTTCGACCTGACTTGCACTTTTCCTAAGTTGAACAACTACCGACACTCAAACTACTCTAATTTTACTTTACTATGGCCACATGCATTGATCATCATCTTTTGCCCGTCACCACCACTCGATTTCCATTTTAATGAAACTGCTATTTACTAGTCATCTTCATAGAAAACCTTCCTAAAAGTATGCCGACAAAATATAAACTCAATAATCATGTTAAACCAGTGAATTTGATAATGTTAACACTAAGTTTTGATAAGAAAAGTACAGTTTTTATCAAAACTTATTACTTAATTAATGTACATGTTCAATTAATTCAACAATATCATTTGCGGGTCATTTCGTGTAAGTAAATTAGCCTCAATCAATTCTATACATAGTCAAATACTAGCTAAAATAAGTCCTGATCTTGACTCATGTAAAAGAGGTAGTTATGCGATCCATTTATAGTCACATGTCAACCCAATAATGTATGTAGTAGACCTTTGCGTGGCACACTCTTGACAACATAACATGTAAGATATATTAAACCAATATTCGAGTATTTCCTATCGTGATTCAGCTTTAAGCCGATTCTAACCAACTGTGCCATGGTTCAATGTAGCACTTGTAAGTATTGTGGAGGATGTAGTTGTGAATTCACAATTACCTGCAAGAATATGCTAGTTTCATCATTAGCTCTTTGTCGCTATTGATTTGGTCTAACAGTTTGGCTACGAGTGACTCAAGACTGAAGTGAAAAAAAAATTGTATCGATATCAGACTCCCTTTGGTTTGGTAGAATCTTTATTTTCATATCATGAAGTATGTTTTAAAGTTGAGAAAAATCCGTTAAACAAGAAAACACAATGGGAAACACGTATGACTACGTCTAAAGGGACTTGAAATATTCTATTCTGGACTGACAATCAACATTGCTTGCTTGCGATATCGAAATGGATTTGAGGTTTGTTGTTTTATTGACTCATTCGATAAGTGGCAAGACCGAGATGATATACAAAACAGAAATCATTATGAATGTTGTGCATTTGTGGTAAGTGAATTTTGAATCCAAACGAATTTGGAACAATATCTTAAAAACTATATATGAAAAAGAAACAATTGTAGATAAATGATTCACACGACTGAACGTACATAAACCATAATGATGAATAGCGAAAGAAAGAACTAGAGTATATTTTAGTGAATGAAATATTTCACTACACTAGAAATGTTGGTGATTCTTTTGCATTCGGATAAAGATACAAATGCATCAAAATTTGATTCAACCGTTGGATATCAATAGATCGAAGAAAGCAATGTTGATCAACTACAACGTCGAAAATGTAAAGATCTTGTTTTAAAAACGAGTTTGACTCGTTGTGGTTTAATCTTCCAGGAGATCTCGATGAGCAAACGTGTGCGGTACTGCTACGAGATACGTTCACACTGAAAGAATCTCCTATACTCAAAGTTGCATCTGCATACACCAACATATTCTATCTTTTCTAATTTTTCTCGATGAATCTTTTGAACTCATGAACGTTTGTTCATATAGCTACATATATAAACTCTTTAAGCAAAATATTCTCCACTGTGTTTGCAATATTTTTGTTTACAATCCAATGAAACACAAGTAGCTCTTCTCTGAGGAGAACGAACTGATCAGAGATCATACAATGGGCTATTTAATTTCAGTCTGAATTTATCAAATAAAAATAATACTTGATTTCAAACTGAAACGTGAGTCTAGGAGTGAGGGGGGGGGGGGGAGTGACTGAGGGTGTGGGTGTTGGTCTGGGACCCACACACACACCCACACCCATGGTGCGGGTGTGGGCGCGCGAGTGAGGGTGAGGGTGTGCTTCTGGCTTTGTGTACTATAGGCTTTAGTCCCCTGCACAGGGGACTAAGCGGGGACTAAGCTTTTTGTGGGGGGACTAAGGGGGACTTTGCAGGACTAGGGGGGACTAAGGGTTTTTAGTGAGACTACGTAGTATCAAACGAGAAAAGTTTGATTCGGAAGAAATTGGTGTGGTTTTTTTTATTTTAGAATTCAGTTTGAAATAAAAAAGCCCATAGACTCTCAGAGATTGAGGTAACGCATAGTGGCATTGTCATATCGAGGAAAAGAATCAACACACTTCTAACAACATTCTGGTTTGCTTTCATTCGGTCTTCTAGTCTTTCTGTTCGCGTGTTTAACATTTCCTTGTTGAGCTCTTTCTTTTCTTCCATTTCTATATAAAGAAAAGATAAAATGAAAAAAAACACCAATCTCCTTACAATTTATCGGCCATGTCTCAAATATGTCTGACATCGTGAGCAAATTTAAAGAAGAATTGTCATAATATAATACATGAGATAGACATGAGTGTCAAACAAAAAAAAAATTGAATGTCAACTAAAACATGCCACTTATCCTCACTAACGGCACCTGTTTTCTTTTTCATAGAAAAGTTAAGCAATTAGGAGACCCTACTCTCACATTTTTCCATCTTCTATGACGGCTGCTACATATTTGAGTTGACAATTCGCAAGAGTACGACAATCATCACTTTTCGGTAGTGATTAGAGAGAAGAAATAAGAAAAACATTGCACATTTACTATTTATTAAAATTCATCGTACACGAGCAATTATCGGAAGTCTTCTACTTTCGATAGACTACGTTTCAGAATCCTTGTAATTTACTTTTGACATCTATTTTTCTTTTCAAACGTGTGCTAATAAATGATGAATAATTCCATTAGCCATAGTAATGAACTAGATTTGATTACTCGCTATCTTAATATCTATGCAAATCTCTTTTTTGTTACTTTTGGCAAGATTGATAATCTACTCCAAGTAGAAGTTTTTCTTCAAAAACCTCTTCGCGCTTGTGCGTGTAGTGTTTTTATTCTTGTTGCAACATTCAGCAATTTCGCTACTCTCAATAGTTTGCCACTTCATCGGCTTCTTGTCAATATCTTTTCATCGTCCCATTCTATCGATGTCGGTGTTGGATGATCAAAAACTGACAAAGAACTTGTTCAAATATAACGGTGTCGGTTTTGATCAGTTTTTGAACTTATTTGTCTTCTTAATGACATCGTCGTGAGTTTTTCAACGTCAGTGCTAGCCCAAAAAGACACGTATCTTCTACGATGTTGAAAATTTTCCATCATTCTACGCCAAATCTTGAGAAATTATGTTTTTGTTCTGCTATTTTCTTTTTTTGATCCAAAATCAAAACTATTGCTATGAGCATCCAAACTTATATTCGATCCTAAAAGAGAATTTTTTTTCTCGCCTATGCCATCCGACATGGAATCACAATGACACATGTAAATCAATCACCTATGTTACCTATATGATTGGAAAACAGAAGACAGTTCGTTTGCGTTGACACTTCAATGAATAAGAAAGTAAGCGGGAAGCAGTCTAAATATGAGTTCTGCAGACATCATCCGATATTTTTCGTACACCAATTTCTAGAATTCCATTCTTTTACTCTCGCGATCAATACTTGTATAATCAGGTGCAGGTTTTCTGATACAATTAGAACTGGGGGCAGTGTGGTCAGGAGAAACTCTAAATATTAGGCATAGCTCTCTTTTCCGAATGGATGGAGAAAGGAAGAAAGGATAAATGTCGAAGAAAAATATCGAAAATAAAGTATCGAAAGAAAAAATGTCGAATAGAAATTATCGAAAGTTAAAATATCTGAATACGAAGTAATGTTTATGAAGTTGTAACAAATTTTATTACGTGAATGAAAAGTAAATATAAATTATAACGAGCACTGTGGGTGAATGTCACTTCACGGAGGATAATAGCGTCCATTTTTTTCATACTATGGGTTATTTAATTTCAATCTGAATTTAAACAGAAAAAAGAGCACTTGATTTCAAATTGAAATAAGGGACTAAGGGACTAAAGGGACTACAGGGACTACAGGGACTACCAAGGAGTGACAAATATCAAATTGTTACTAATTTTCAAAATTTATATGCCAAAATTTTGAAAATTTCAAACTTTCAAAATTTTCAAAATTTTCAAATTTTCAAAATTTTCAAAACTTTTAGAATACTACTAACTAGAAATAATGAGAAACATTGAGTTGATATCATCGTACTAACTGTCTTCTACAACTTAATTAAAAACAAATGTCTATTGAATCATTAAAACCCTACCACTTATGTTTATACTGACCAGACAAGCAGATATCAGATATTTACTTTCAATGTGAAAATTTGAAAATTCTTCTTGAAATATAACATATGAAACATCATGTAGTACCTATAATTTTAAAAAAATCATCAGAAAGCAGATATCAGATATTTACTTTCAATATTAAATTTGAAAATTATTGCTCAACCATAACATATGAAACATCATATAGTACATATAATTTTAAAAGATTCTCAGAAACCAGATATCAGATATTTACTTTTAATATTAAATTTGAAAACTATTGTTCAAATATAATATATGAAACATCATATAGTACATATAATTTTAAAAAAGCATCAGAAAACAGATATCAGATATTTACTTTCACAATCAATTTTGAACACCATTATTAAAGAATGAAATCAATCAAATTCTGCGCACTTGCAAAATTGATCATAAGACAAAAATCTGAGCATATTTCTTGTGTGCATGTTATGATCCATTAGTCTACACAATACCATTTGAAATACGTTGTCTTTGATTTATCTGCTATATTTTGTTATCCTGATAGTTATCACTGAAAAGAGCTACTTATAAGATAGTCAAAAGTAAAAAATTGGTAGAGACAAAAGTTCGTCTTTATTCTTGGGTTTGTTAATTATTTCTAAAATTATTAGCACTTATCGTATTCTAATATAATGTTAGAATTCATTGACTTCCTTTTTATGACGAATTCAAATAGAATAATATTTAAGAACAGCTGGACAAGAATATAAAGAAGATAGAAAACAGAAAAGAAAAAAAATATAGTACCATATGAGATTTAAAACTGGAGATAGAAAGAAAAAAAAGT